CTGGAATTCTCAACTAGAACTAGAGGGAACATAAAATGAAGCCACTTTTTTGGAAAATAGTTTGGCAGTTTCTTATAAAGTTAAATATATGCTTACCATATCAACAGGCAGTTACTTCTACTCCTGGGTACTTATTCAAGAGACACGAAAACATATGTCCACACAAAGACCTGTATACAAATATTCATAGCATGTTTATTCATAATAGTCAAATTGTGAAACCATGCCAATTTCCATCAACAATAGAATGAATAAACAAATTATGTGTATTATCCATGTAATGGAGTACTACTCAGCAATAAAAATGAATGAAATGCCAGTATATACAACATGAATGAATCTCACAGATACTATGTCAAACCAAAGAAGCCAGACACAAAAGAGAACATACTGTATATAACACTCCACTTCTATGGTAATAGAAATTAGTGGTTGATTGAGGTGGAGGGGGTTGTTGACTGCAAAGGAGCAGGAGAGAACCTTCTGGGGAAATGAAAATGCTCTTTTCTTGTTTGGAGTGGTTGCTACCCAGGTACATACATTTCTCTAAACTTCTTGAATGTAAACTTAAAATCTCCGATTTACTGAATGTGCCTTATACCGCAATGAAGTTATTTTCTTTAAAAAATGTTATTAGAAAGAAAAGAAGGCTGGGTTAACTGTCTCTACTACATAAACTTTACAGACAAATTCTTCAATCCTCATTTCACTTTCCATGAAGTGGTCCTGCCTAAGGGGAAAATCTTTGTAATGAAATGACCAGAAAGCAAGATCTAAAAGTGTCATTTATGACTCTCCTTCGTAAAAATCATAAAAATCAAAGTAAAGAATAAACCACCCTCATTGGAATTGAACCTAATATATTTACTTATACAGGAAAAAAAAAATTTTCTCATTTGGACGAAAAAAAAAAAAAGGAAATGTTAATTCAGGTCTGGGGAGGGTCTTTGGTTATATGGATGCTTCAGGCAATGCTGAGCGAATTACACCACCTCACAGGCCGTCTGTCCCATCCTGTGGGGTGACATCTGCGCCCAGGACGAGATAAACAAGAACCGAGGAAAGCAGGCATCCTTAAGTCGGTCCGACCTGGATGATTTGCTCATAACATCGCATCTTGGCAGGTCAATTTCTTCTTCCTGCTCAACATCGTCCGGGTGCTCGTGAGCAAGATGAGGGAGACCCAGGAGGCGGAATCACACATGTACCTGAAGGCAGTGAGGGCCACTCTGATCCTGGTGCCCCTGTTGGGAATCCAGTTCGTCGTCTTTCCCTGGAGGCCTTCCAACAAGATGCTTGGGAAGATATATGATTACCTGATGCACTCTCTGATTCATTTCCAGGTAAAGAAGCCAGTGGTGTATTTATTCAACTATTCGCTCAGCTAGTTGACATAGGGTGAAGCATTTTCCAAGGCCCATCTGTGATTGGCCTTTTCAAATAGATGTAACCTGGAAGGGATACAGCTTCTCTCTTTCTCATTACCTGTTTCTCCCTTTTTTTTTGAATCTCAAAACTGAGGAAGGAAACAGGGGGAGTATGAGCTTTGAGAACACATCTTTCTGAGGACAAATATTTGTCCAGGGATGAACCCACTGCACAGTACTGAGTACTGAGGACCGAATTTCTATTCCCACTGTCCTTTCAACCTTTCCTTCCCCTTTCCGGTAGTTTGAAGGCCACATTTGTTTTGCCTTCATGAAGGGGAGTTTTGAAGATCAACATAACCAATGCCAATCAGTTTCCCAACCTGGATTGCTAGCATCATAGTCACCAATGCCATGAAAACACAGGGCAGAGAGGCAGATGTTCCTAACAGTCAGAAATGCCTCCACTGGACCCCAAGCTGGAAGCTACATCCCTCTTAAACTAGAATATTCTTAGAGTGAAGCACTGAATATGAGTGCGCTAGTAATCGTCTTTCATCAAACCTTGACTTGCTAGTGCAATAGCGAGATGTTCCTCTCTGGGCTGTCTATTTATATTGATTCCTAAACAACATAATGCACCCAAAAATAACTTCAGTTCTATTTCTCCTCCTCTTTTTAGGGATTCTTCGTCGCCGTGATCTACTGCTTCTGCAACAACGAGGTAAGCATGCATTTCACATAATACCATCACTCGTTGATATAAAGCCAGCACTTTACAGTTCCCAGAGGGCCTCTGGACACATTTCATTTGCTCTCACTTATGCAATTGACCTCGTGGGGTTTCGTGACATGCAGGATCATGTATTTTTCCACTACTTCAAGCCGAATCTTATCTATGTTTCTATGGAAGAATTGCAGATATTACCCACGCGGGCAGCTATGTTCTGATTTCCTTGGATGACACCTTAAGGTGGTCAGTCCCTTGAGCAGCAAGTGAGAGCTATTCTGGATTCCCATAGAAAGAGAAGTCATGCTGCCATCCCTTTGGAAGACCCAGCTCCTCACTGGGGCGGAGTCAGTATCCAGCCAGTTTGTACTGGTTCACTGCTATCTTGTCCCACTGCTTGGTGCTGGTGTCATACCAAGTCTTTGACATTGTGACAATCCCCTTGAAGTTAAGACCCCAAAAGAATTCTCAAATAAGTAATTTAATATCTGAATATTTAGCTCAGTAAAATCTAGGGATCCATATGGCCAGTGTTGTCAGGGCGGGGTTAGCCAGAGTTCCCTTTCTTCCAATGAAATCTTCTTGCCTGGGACTCCAACTGGTGAAGCAGAAACATGGAGCTGCTTACTGTCGTTGGGAATGCAAACAGGAGCAGCCACCGTGGGAAACAGCATGGAAGCTCCTTGGAAAATTAAAAATAGAACTATCCTATGATCTGGTAATTCCACTGCTGGGTATTTACCCAAAGAATATGAAAACACTAATTCAAAGAGATATGTGCATCCCTAATGTTTATTGCAGCATTATTTATAATAGCCAAGATATGGAAGCAGCCCAAGCATCCATTGATGGATGAATGGATAAAGAAGATCTGGTATATACATACAATGGAATATTACTCAGCCATAAAACAATGAAATCTTGCCATTTGCAACATATATGTTAGTTATACTTGAATTTAAAAAAAAAAAAGTGGAGCTGCTTAAATTTGTACCAAAGAATATTCAGGGCTTCAAGAAACATGGTACAAACCTGCTCCCTCATTTTTTGTATGCTCCCTCATTTTTTAAGAAAGAAATCTACTCCAGGAAGAACATGTGACTTGCACAATGTCACAATCATAGTTGTATAATCAGGACGAGAACCAAATTTCCTGATTCTTAATTAAATGAACTGACTCTTCCAACTGCACTGTAATATGTCTATGATTCCTCCCTGGAGCTTTGTTAGTATACTTTCTCTAGTTATATACCACATGAATTGCAATGTACAAACATTTTTTATAATTTTACATTGATTCCTAATAAAAATAATTCTATACCAAGGAAAATCACATTTGGTTAAGAGATCAACAAACATATGATTTTCCTGTTGCTAATTAGAAAGGTTTTCTAACCAGAGTCAATTGATATTTAATTGATTCTCTACTCTTTATTTCTTGAGGTAAACAGGGAGCACCTATAAGATTTTGCTGTTCTGTGACCTATTATTTATCTCCAACCTTGTCACTGCATCACAAGATTTTTGTCGTTCTCATTCTCCTTTTTAATTGGTACATTTTATTCCTCCCTTCATCCGTTCCTCCATAAACTCATCCCATCACTCAGCAGAAATATGCTGTGCATTCACTCTCACTAGGGGCTAGACTGAAGGCCTGAGATAGGAATGAAAAGACATCCTTCTGCTGCCAGCTGTTAAAGTCTCTTTGTCTTTTTCTTTGTTTGTTTTAAGCATAGCAAAAGCTAAATAAATAAATAGGGCTCAGGGCATCCCAACTTTCTATCAATTTCTGTGAATGTATATCTCTGTTTGAGTTGTTTATATCTTTGAGTTGTTTCAGGTGCCATACAAATAAATTTTTCCACCTAAAGCTGTATCTATGTAGGGCTAACGTAAAAATCAGGTTCAGAAGGGCCATACCTTGAAAACACGAGAGGATTGCAGGCATTTGTAAAAATGCCTCATTTTTAACCATGACGCTGTCTTTGGAGCGTCAGGCCTAGGAAGCAAGCCAAGAAGTGCTCCTAACAATTGAATGTTTCTAGTTCATTTGAGTATGATATCTCCGCTTTTCAAAGTCAAGAAACCATCTCCCTTTTAATTAAGATTCTGTTACTGGGGAAAGCTACAAGTGTGATGTTTCTAATAAGATAGAAATTGTGTACTGTGCCAAATGTAACCTCACAGCACCATGAGTTTTAGGCCTGCGGCTCTCCACCCGGCCTTCTGTGAAGGTGCCGTCTACACCCCACGAACCTGGTAGGACACGCGGACCTGCGGGATGCCCTTGCAGCTGCAGCTGCCACAGAGCAGTGCTTGGGCTTTGCTGGCAGCACGCTGAGTTTTAGCAGGGGGCTAAAGTTTTAGTCTAGGGGCTGAGATGGCAGTTAGACGGTGCAGATTGACGTTTTCATTTTCATTTTTTACCTGTATGTTATCAGTGATTCCCATTATGAAAATGGATCAGAGAGTCGACAGAGAGACTAGAAGCAGAGAAGGAATTTGGAGAATGAAAGTAGTACAAGTGAGGAAGCGCCCATGAGACCGCACTTATGGGTCACATATTTCCTACATGTCTTCCAAGAGTGTGGACGTGGACCACCCACACCTTTCAGTAAATTATTAAGTATCTAAGGGACCTCAAAAAGATGACGGTGGCTCTAAAGATGCCCAGTGGTTCCAAGCTGCAGCTTAAAATTTGAGAGAGCACCAACAACACAGTGGATATTCTCCCTTTTCATGTCTCTTGCCATTGTCCATGCGTTGTGGGTAAAATCATTTGTCGATCAAAGAAGCATGATCAGAAAGATCTCAATTTAACAGTAACAGATTGGAGTGGATGGAAACTACAACTACTTTTGTTTGTTGTAACTTATCCTGCTTTAGAGGGCCCATCCCACCAGCTTCTAAGAGACAGCAGTCTCTTTCTAGAAAATATTTAGTTCCAAAGCCTTTATCCAAAGGTGCAGTTGGCAGCCCCTGCTGACACTCAGGTGGCTCCCCTCACTTCTGAGGAGCCGAGAGATCCTTTGACTGTGCAGCCTCCTTGGCCAGGCCCCAGCCCTGTTCTGCAACACCAGTTCTCTCTTTCAAGCCACTCGAAGAGCCTGCAGAGTCAGCCTCCTTTCTTCACACTGTGAAGGGCCCGTGAATCCCTTCAGCACATTTCATAGCCATGACTATGAGAAGAGAAAGATTTGCTCTACTGGGGTGTTTCTATCCTTCTTGCTTTATGTTTCTCCCCATTTCCCCAGGTATTTCCACCATGAAGGGGAAATACAAGGTTATTTGTGTTTCTGTATAGCTCTCTCCTCTTCCTTTCGGGATTGGAAGGGCTTTGTACTCACCACTGCTCCTTCCAACTGCAGGGGACTCTCCCTATGCCATATCTTGCATATTCTCTATACTCTGGCTTTTAGTAAAATTCTATTTCCAGAGTAGTATGGTTTTCACTTCATATGCAAAGATAAGCTTTTCTACTTAGAAATTCTTTTTCTCACTCAATAAAACCTGGTTTTCAAAGCTGTTGTCCTAGAGACTCAAGAAAGTCAGCTTTGAGACTCAAAGCTAAGCAATGATTTCTTTTTTCTAGACCAGTATTCTCAAACTTTAATGTGCATCAGAATTGCCTGGAAAAGTTTGTCAAAACAGAGTGCTTGACCCCTCCCAGAAGAGTTTCCTATTCAGCAGGACAGGGATGGGGCCTGAGAATTTGCATTTCTAACAAGTTTCCAGGTGATGCTGATGCTGCTGATCAGAGAACCCACTTTGAGAACCTACTCTAGACAAAATCTAATTTGTTCTTCATGCAATGAATGACCTTGACTTAATGAATGAGGGAGTTGCAGGGGAATGTTATTTAGGAAATACAATAGTTAAATATTTTGAAAAATACTAACCTTATTATAGATGCTATTTATTTATTGTTGTCTTCTAGAACAGGAAAGCTTCTACAGACATAGAAGAGTACGTAGTGAAAAGGAATTAGAAAGCCTTGATCTTATAATCATGAAGTACCCAATTTACCTCAAACTGTAGGGCATGTACATTCTGTAAGATAAAGACCAGTAAAGATAATGCTCCAAAAGGGTGAAAGAAATATTAGTGACAACTTTATGAATAATATTCAGAAGTACCCCTCAGCATCTAATTAACGGGGTTTAATAGGGATTCCGCTTCAGAAAGCCATATAAAAGCATTTAAAGCATACTTCCAGGTGGATTTATAGTGTTTTTAAAACTTGTGATTTTTAATCTTAAATTTAGATTGCAGCAGGCCGGTTGAGTTGTGGCATCAGCAAGTGAAGGTGTGAGGGAGCAGGTCTGAAAATCTTGCTATCCATTGACTCAAAACTCCCGGGGGTAAATCCCACCTTCCATTCAACAGTATATAACTGCTGGTGCTTATACTGAACTTCAAGAAAACAAGGCCAAAGATAAAAGCTTTCAAGTCCAACCACGAAGATTCTGACCTGATTTTCTTTTTCACAAATGTAGAAACTGAGGCCCAAATATACCAACCTCATATAGATGGTTAATAATAGAGCCAGATGCAATAATTATGTCTTCATCAGACCAGGGCTCTATTTTTTTAAAGTTGGCAATAAATAAGTTGATATAATTAGGGAAAATGTAAAGTGATCTGTGTTAATTGCTTTTATAATGAGTGGTGAATCTATATAATTCAAAACTTTGTATGTTATATTTATCACATTGGCAACTCCTAACATTTCTGATGCTTTTCAGGAGCAATGAAAAGTCTCCCTGTTTTTTTTTTTTCAAACAGATTCAATGCCCTTATTGTAGTGATCAAAGCAGCATCAAGCTCAACCTGTGGTATTGTAGGAGATAATTGCCCTATTAAACTATAATTATTCAAGTGTCTTTTACATCCAGCTAAAGGCCTATTCTTATATGTGTGGTTTACAAATTGAAGCAGACTGCCATCTCCACACAAAAGAATAGATTATAATTCAGGAATGCAATTATAGAAGGCTATCAACATTTCTGTAATAATAATATTAAAAACATAAAATAGGCCTCAAACCCTTTGGCCTCATGCTGGGCAGGATACTTCATTAATATGCATGGATACTCCAATGGGGATTATTTTAAAAGAACAGGTGAGGAGAAACAAAGACTTTTTTTTTTTTTTTTGGTCTGCTGGGCACTTTTACAAACTCTCTCTAAACTTAAACTGTCTGCTTTGGAATGCCTCTAAATATCTGTGTAAGTTTTAGTTATAAAGACAGTGTTGGTATTTGAGAAATGCTGAATCCATGGAAACTATCAGTTCCTTTTGTCTGGGGACATCGCTTCTCCAAAAATATGCCGAAGCAGTATTATTTCCTAATTCCTCAACAGGGCATTTGATGGTTCTAAATTATAAACCTGGCATTTAAAGCATTTAAGGACCTACATTTAATAGACAGTACAACCCAAATAAAACCATGCCATCTCTTGACTAGTGCCAACATAAAAATAAATTGTACAGAAATCCAAAAGAAATCCAGGAAGTAGCAAGCCCGGGCCATGGAGCACTCTGTGGAGACCTAGTTTAGAATGTATGAGCTCAGAAACTATGTGTGTCATTGAGAGGTCTTTGTATTTTCTTAGCACCACCACCCTCCAAAAAGAATATGACAGAAGAGTTTCATTTTCGTCGTCTGAAGACTTGAGGTCAACATCCTGCCCTAATAACAGTACAGTAATAGCAATAATAACAGTAGCCTCCCTGTATGGTACTTTAAAGCTGAGATGCCACTTTGATATATACTGTCACAATTTAATCCTTCCAACAGCAAGGTGAGGTAGAAGAGTTGTATTGAAGAAAGGAGTCTCAGAGAGGGTAACTATCCTACCCAAGATTACAAGGCTAATGTGAGCAGAGTGAGTTTCTTGACCCAAAGTTCGGTCCTTCTTTTCATGGCATTTAATGAGATCCTGTGAAATGATGCTTTAGGTGGAAAAAGAACAGAAAGGTGGTGTGGTGTTACCCAGTGACAGTCTTCCTTTCCTGCCCAGCTGGTTGCCCAGGCAATACAAGTACCTGCTTCTGATCATTTCCAAAAGTAATGACTCATTGGAGCTCAAGAGCAGTTCCCAAAAACATACACCATGGCATGAGATAAGACCTAGAGAAGACCAAGCGACAGTTGTAGATGATCTAACACCCAGTGGCTTACAGTTCACCTCCGGAAGGAATTCAAGTTCTCAAAAAGCAGTGATTCTAAGTCTCATATCAAAACCCAGTGTTTCATGTTTGCATGAAAGAAAATTTTAATTTCTCCACTAGGTTTGCCACAGATGCTTTCAGCTCCCCACCCTAGTACCACTGGATACCAGTGCACTAATTATGGTCATTAGTGATCACTTTCTTGGCTGAAAGAGTTATGAACTCATTCTAGAATGGATGTTGACAAGCAGTCAACAAGTGTTTGTTGAATAACTGCTATATGCCCAACAGCATGGCACGTTCTGGGAATATAAAAACGAACGAGACATGGTTCCTGCTTTTAAGGATTTCCCCGTGCAGGAGGAGAGAGAGACATACCAAGTCATGATGCGATAACTCAGTAAGAGCAATAAGGAATATAGGTTACTGAAACTAGAGCACAGAAAAGAGACTCCTGACTCTTTATCGGGGGTCAAGAAAAGTTTCCTGGAGAAACAGAGTTGAGTCCTGAAAATCAAGTCTTGACATCAGTGAAGGGTGGGAGAGGGCCATTCCAGGAGAGGGAGCGGCGTGAGCAGAGAGGCCTGATGGGAAGAAACGATATAGCTGGTGGAGAGAAACAAGCAGTTGGTTAATTTTGGAGAACTCGGGTCAAGGCCGTAAGTGGCTTAAAACCACTCTGGCAGAGAGATGAGCCAACTCAGACAAAAGCAGCAGAATGATGGGAATTTTCCACTCCTGCCCCTGACAGCAGCTCTGTGCCTGGTGTCTAAGTGCTCTTACAGGACCCAAATCCCTTCTGTATGTGCCTGGCCGGGTGGCTGAAATGGGGGCATTAGGGGTAAACCGCTAAAGGACAAAACCATCAGACCAAGATTTCAGGTCACTTTGGGTGTGGACTGCATTCCTCCTGAAGAGAATAACCCTGATCAAGTTCCGCCCATTTGGAGTATGTCACCCTACTGCTGTTTTGAATGGCAGTAGCCGAGCGCAGGAAGCCGGTGTGTGCACGAGCACATTGTTTCAATTAGAGAGAATAAATGGACCTAATCCTTCAGACTTTGTCTTCTCTTTGTGTCTTGACCTCTAGACAGAAATGTCTCAGAGGGTGAACAAACCAGTCAGTGCTCAGTTATTTAGCACTAAATGTAGATAAACTGTCCTAATTGCTTTTCTTCTTTACTGTTTCATTCTTCCTCATCTCTGCCTCTTCCATTCCTCCAATCCATCCCGTCCCCTCTAGCTATATTACACCTTCCATTTGTACCTCTTCCACGAAGGTGCTTAGGAAACCATAGGAGGCAAAACACTTACATGAATCAATTTTCAACCAGTAAATAGCCCTAATAAAGAACGAGATAGGAGCCTGAAGGTGCCAGACTATCATAAGGGAGATACTTGACTCTCTCAAATCCAGCCACATGGAGGTGGAGGGGGGGGCGGTCAGGATGGGGAGAGAATAGGAGAAAAAGTAGGGAGTTGTTGCTGCTACGCACCAACACCATATGAGGTGATTCAGATAGCCTCGGTAAATCTTACTCATAACTCTGAATTCGTGTCCTGATCTCCTTTTCACAAAGGAGAAAAGTCTAAGAAAGAAAGAAAAAAAAACACTCAGGAAACAAGCTGGGACCCAAACCCAAAGAGTACAGTCTTTGGAGGAGATGTGTCAACACTTAATGCTCTCATCCTGCTGATGCAGTGACCACAAGAAACAAGTCCTCTTTCCAGTTCAGCTCTGAACTTGATGGTCAGCTCTCTACAGCGTGTGCTGTGGCCAAGCAGCAAGGTCAGGAGCAGCACGGGCTTCCCCTGCCCTGGTGGGTCCACCACATTCCAACTGTCCGACCTGGACACATTACATCACCTCAGTCCCCATATGCAAAGTGAAGGGAACAGTAGTCATTAAATCAACAGGATTAAATGAGTTCATACCAATCGAGAGCTTGGAAAACGGCGCATGGTAAGCCCCGGCTACAGCTTTTCATGCCATCCTCGGTCCTGTGTACATCTTTTGTCAACACAAGGTTCAGCTGCATGGCACACAACTTGACCATGGCACTTCAAGTTTTGGTCTTGGTCTCTTTTAAATGAAATTAGATAGACACACCTTAGAGAGTACGCCCACACACTCATCACCTCCAAAAAAACACAAAGACAAAACAGAGTGTGTTGCCGCAGTAATTCCAAATGATCAGATTACCAAGTTCCTCTGCCATTTGTCACCTTGAACTTGGTGGCTGCTCTGTTGTATGAAAAGGAACCTCCCAGTGACAAGTTTCATACCCTCTTGTCTTCAGTGAATCCTTTGACTGCTTTGCCTTTTTCTGCGTAAACTATTTTAAATGATGTGACAAATACTAATAATTATTTGGAAAGATTGTTCTGCTATGATACACAGAAAATGTATTTGCCACAGAAATTATTCAGCCTTCTATCATACATATCGCTTTATAAGATTAATAGGTTGGGCCATCATTTATATCTTCTTTTAGATTCATACAAATTTGGTTCTTCACAATTAACTTGTTACACACTTTATCTCATGTCATACTATTTCCAGATTCCCCCTCCTGTGCCCCCATAATGGTTAGGTCTTACATTCAAGTTCGGTAGCAAAATAATGAAAGATGTATTAATAAATCGACACAAATATTTTTATATAAAAGCTTGTCTCATGTACTGACTGAACAACAGAAATTCAGAAATGTAGAGTAGATATTGTAGCAATAATCTCCAATTATTTTAGTCTTGCTCAGCTATAGAGGAAAGCAAGAAGTTAAGAGACGACAGGGAAGATGAACTTAATGACTAAATTGAATTCAATTCTGAAGAAAGCCGAGCTCCACAAGCAGTGTCACTGCCTGTGGTGTTCTTTTCTGCTGTGGTTATTGTAGTTTTCATATTTAGAGCTTCCTGGCTTTAGCATCTTCTTCTCTACTGTATAGTTTATCATATTCGTGAAGCAAGTTTGGTAAGTTGGTTTACATATTAGAAGTTTTTCCACAGGAAGAGATTGAAATTTTATGCTTAAAAGCTTTGCACTCCATTAACCAGAGTTTTATCCGGCCCACCCCACCCCAAGCCGTGTTGGAGAAAGGAAAATCAACAGTATGAAGTCCTTATCATGAAACCCCCGAACTGTGCTGTGGTTTACATATATGTGTTTGTGTGTGTGTGTGTGTGTGTATTTACATGACCAATAATGTGTAGGTTTAGATTAAAGCTTCTGCATTATCAGAGGTGGTAGCAGATAACTTCAAAATCTTTTCCTCTGGTAGGACACGTATACCATATTGGGTATAAAACCAAGGCAAATTTCATTCATTGGACAGAAGAGCTAAAGAAGACACTTTTTGCTCAAAAGGGCAAACGACCTTGCCAGTGGTAGCTTAGGCAAGCAGCTCGTTTCTCCGACTTGCAAATTCTTCTCCCAAGATGGTATATTCCCCAACCAAAGCGTGTATACTGCACGGTCCTTTGGATCAGAATTACAACTCGGCCTCCTCTAGCCTCTGATAAGCTCCACGAACTGTGCCCATAAGCTTGGCTTGGTCGTTTCTGACGATTATATGACAACAAGGTTCCCTTTTCTCTTCCAGGTCCAAACCACCGTGAAGCGCCAATGGGCCCAGTTTAAAACCCAGTGGGACCAGCGCTGGGGGCGAAGGAACCCCCGCCGCCGCCCGGCCGCCGCCGCCGCCGCCGCTGCCGCCGAAGCCAGGGACATCCCGGTTTACATCTGCCATCAGGAGCCGAGGAACGAAGCCGCGAACAACCTGGGCGAGGAGGGTGCCGAGGTCATTGCTTTGGAAATCATTGAGCAAGAGTCATCCGCTTGAATGTGAAGCTAACGCAGCATCGTGATCACTGAGCCTCCATTTCCTGGGAGACAGACAGACCATGCGTTTAAAGTGATTCCCATCCTCCCAGGAGCTGAGCATATCATTTGTGAAGAATTATTAAGTGAATTTGTCCATAGTAAATCTGGAGAAAGTTATCCTTGGTACTATTGCTGTGGGAGACAGTCTAGGAATGGGGTCTCCCACTGCATTCCTTGTGAACTCCATCTTTCATCCGGGACTGAGATGCAGATGTCAGAGTAATGCAAGCAAAGTATCCAAGAAAAACACAATTAAATTGATCTAGTTCAGAAACAGGGTGCTCCTTGTTAATCTTGAGCCATTTATAACTTTGAAAAATTAAAATCACGGTCACTATTTTTCTTTTTAACTCTAGACTTTGAATTAGAATATTTCTGTATTTGGCTATGGATCTGATTTTTAATTTTTTTATTTCAGTCAATTCCGATGTTACTCAGATGTTTTACCATCCACACAATGTAAACCGCACAAATTACATGACCTCTGCAAGACCAAGTGGCTTTCTAATATAGGGATGACTAAGAAGGTGGCGGGTGGGGTGGGGTGGGGAGAACTGCATTGGGCAGGAAGATGTAATGCTTTGAATGAAAAAGAAATTTAGAGTCAATTTGCTCAAAACATTAGATGGGCCAATTTGTTAATTGGTTTATTAATATTGTATGCTCAGTGTGGTTTTGGAGAATCCTGTCCATTGAACAGGCCCTAACTGCCGTGAGGAACTGGCCTTCACATTGAATGTGCTTTGGTCACTGACGTTTATAAATTGGGAGGTCACAAAGAATCCATCACTAAATTTTTCACAAAACTGCCAAAAATATAATTTCTAGTGGAAGAGAATATTCTCTTTAAAGAGAGTTTTCCACTTTCTTAAGCTCCAGGATTTATAAAGCAAATCACTCTAAGGTTTATAAAGCAGATTACCTCTTGCCCTTGGGTGCTATCTAGCAGTAAAAGATAAATTTGTTTAAGACTGGTAATTAAAAGACTCCATATAAATCCATTAACTGCCTTCCACCCAGCTTCAAAGCTTAACAAGATCTCGGTCTTTTCCAGGAAGATTCAGTAGGGCTAATTAGAAATCAGTTTGTAGTTGACCTCTTGTTTGCTGCTATTAGCAAAACAGGAGGAGGAAAAGTAAGTGCTACGAGTTGAACCATCTATCAGTTCATTTAAAACAAAAGTAGAGGTTCTTATTAAAACCCAATATTATATTCCCACATCTCTCCTTACATCCTCAGTATAAAATCTTCAAAAATCCCTGAATAAACCAGTTCTCATTACTGGCACCTGAAGTTCATTTGTGGATTCGCAACAGTAATCAGAGTTATCATCTTTTGATTTTGTGCTAAATGGGGAAATCCATCGAAACCCTCCAAATCTCAGATCTCATCTATGTCGATGCCACTGCCTTTCAGAGGTGATTTAGTTGTGGAAAAACAAAAAGTCAGTTTGTTCTGGTTACATATTTAGTGCACCCAAAGAAAATTATATTCCTTCAGTGAAAATGTATTTTGGATACTAAAGTGGCTTATGTCTCCTTTACTGAGTGTAAGGGAGGAACTGAAAAGAAGGTATTTTTCCAATCACAGTGTTTATGTAGTGGTGTTCCTATTTTCGTTTACAAACATGGAAAACAGAGTATTTGAGGCAGCTCTAGTACAAATGTGATAATATATTGCTAAATACTCTAGACATAGGGGCTGACGAAACAACACAGCTTACCATAGAATTATACATAGTGCCAAAATGATGTGAACTGCTTACGCTATGTATATGTATAAATTAATACAGAGTATGTTAAAAACAAAAAGATGTATATGTGCATATTTTTCTAAAGAAATATATTCTCATCTTTCATTCATTTATCTTGTCTCCTGCTCATTCCATGTTCATTTTTTCATTTCAGTCAAGGGCAGCTAACATCTCATTTAGTTTGGGTAGCAGGAGGGGGAAAGATAATCCAAAAGTATAGGTTAGAAAACCATATGCAAAAACATCGAGGTTATTGTCTTTGTCAGTGTAATCATCTTCCTTCTTCAACTTTAGTATAAACTCCATAGCACTGTTCTCATACCCTTGATAATGCAAAAACCACACACAACTGTTGATCTCTACTGTGTAAGTTTTGGAAGCACAGCAAAGAAATCTAGGTCAAGAAGTATCACATCCTTTTATTGGTTCTTGACTTTTTTTTTCTTCATTATTCTGGGACCAGACTTGAACTGTCCAACATCACATCAGATCATTAGAATTGTTACAATCATTGATTTTTAATATAGTCTGGGAGAGAGACTAAGGTGGGATAAAAGGCAACTAATTAAATGTCATTAGAATGCATAAAGGCCACTATTGGAAAGATTTTCAGATCTGGAAAGCATGAAATGGAAAAAATGAGGATTAAATGAGAACTGTGATAGGCTAATAAAGGAGAACAGGAACAATTTGTAGGTTCTGCACACTATTCAACTATTGTCCTCGTGAGAGCTGGAGAACTTTTTCAGAAAAGATACATAAGGGCTACATCTTTCCTTTATGTCCCAGTAGGCAGTACAGATAGATATCATTACCCTTGTGATCTTGAAAAACAAAAGTAATTTTCCATCATACCATAAAACCTGATTCTTCAAGAGGGCAACTTGAACTTAGATGGTCAGTTGCCCACCTGCTTTGATCCCTACTACAAAACAGGCCTTTAGTACACACAGATATCATGGGTCTTGAAAGAGGGAAAGAGGTTGAAAAAGAAATGAGCGAAAGACTATCATCATGGAGCTCCAACCTTGCTCGTTCATTCCTTCATTCATTACCATTGATTCAACAGACATTTCATACACTTTTCATTTAGCTCCACGACAGATATTTATTAATAGTAGTTATCATGGCAAAGTTTCTTTGCCGTGGTGACTGCTCCTTTCCTGTGTCAATGGTACAAATCAAAACCTACTAAGTGAACCATTACCCTAAGACCATAACCACTAATATCTTTGGAGTGGGAGAACAAAGGGACCCATGTGGTTGGAACTGGTAGCTGAATGTGACCTTTTCTCCTTATTAGTGCTCAGTAGGACAGCTCAAGTTATAAGAAACATTCTCAGAACAAGATCTCTGCATAAACACTTAGCGAGGACTCATTTTCATAAGAACAAGGTGTATAACAGTGATTCTTCCATTGGCTAGACTACCATTCAACTCCTTATTGGGGGGAGTTAACACTTTAGAGTTTAAAATAAGGTTATACATGAAGAAGGGAGATCAGAAGCCATATTTAGAAAAGCTATCAGGTAACGAACTATAGAAATGATCCCTGAAAGTATAGTACAGGTAAACTCAGAAGGAAATTCCATTTACTATTTTGAGAGGGGAGACAAGATGCCTCACTCCTAGCTTAAGCTTACATAAAATTGATTTTAGTGAACTAATCCGTAGATAATTTACGTGTCTGCAGGGGGGCAAAAGGGGGGGGGAACAATAACTGGAAACATAAAACAAAGAATGATATGTGCTTGTGAGAATCAAGCAAAGTGGAAAAACCACATTTGAAAAGTAAGAACTATCCTTCTGATTATTTTTGTTCTTCTAGACATAGGATTAACATCTGTTTACTACCTGTGAATAATATGAAGCATTGAAGGAGAAAAAAATACAGTCTGACCCAGGTCAGGGAGATTTTCTAATAGCAAGTCTTCCTCCATTTGGATTAGTGAGCATCTCTGAAAGATTTCAGAGATTTTCCGTTATCTTAAGCATTGACCAGCCAGGCCCTCAGGTCACTGATCAGACTTACAGAAATTTCCACTTACAGAAATTCAATGCCTTCTCTCTAACTTTCCAGAAACCCTCTTGGCTGACTGACCAGCAATGCCGCTGCATGTCACTGCCATCTCCTCTACTTAAGAGACTTCTTATCTTATTTTAATTTGGAGAAATTGCTTCCAAACAAAATCTCAGAGTATTACACGTGAAGTGCTGATAGAAATTCAGTGAAACCAGTTGAGATGTCCTTAATGAGGGGAGGATAGAAAATACATTCAGAATAGACCAGGAAATCAGTGTCCATCCACCCCTGGCCGACCGGCTACTCAAGGCTAGTGCACAGGCCTCACACAGACGCCCTGCACCCAAACATACACCCAGCTGCAAACCCCTGACATGTGCACACAGCACTGTGGGTGGCTACTGTCAGGGCTGCAAGCATTTCCCTCCTGTGCCCAAGCATGACAGCTTCTGCATACTGTCATCACAAGAGGGGTACTATCATGGGGGTTAGTGTTATGGAGAGCATCCCTTAAATAGAGATGATTTAAGAAGAAAAAAAGAAAGGAACTCCAATCATGGAAACACCGTAGGCAATATGAATAGACTCCTAGACACTAGCTTACTTACTCTTTGTAACAACTGAACCTGTTTTAATCCCCATTTTAGTGATGAGAGAACTAAGTGAAAGAGAAGTTAAATAATGCACCCACCACAGTCACACAATTAGTAGTAAGTGGCCAGGCTAGGATTTGAATCAAGAGTACCCGGTGCCTTTGCTTTTTAAATTGCCATCTTGGTTGGGTGGTTGCTCCATCCTGCCTCTCAGAGTTAAGACCATTCCCCTCTTAACTCTAAAGGACACCAGATCATTGTCTCCTGTTGATTGAGAGGATAGAGGTTGTTTGCAACATGTATTTCTTTTGGTCCAAAATTAACTTAATTCGTGCTCCATAGATTCTTTCAAAAAAATGAGTGGTCTTTAGACAAAATTCAGCCTTCTATAGCTTAAAGGGTTTCTTTCTATAGTGATGACTTCTTTTTCTACCCAGGGATTTTTTTTCACACACAGTGCTGGTTTGCAGCTTTTTCATTTCAGATGTGATCTTTGTGCAGACATTTGGGAGACAAAAACATGCTTTGGGAAACTCTCAGTGGACACCCCAGGCCTAACTTGAGGCCTGCAGCAGAGCTGAAGAAGTGGA